CACTATTCAAAAACTCATTCTTCAACAATACTTTTTTATTTTATTCTTCATCATTTTTCTTTTCAAGATATCAATATATACTATTGGTCATTGCACTTTAAACAAGTTTTCATTTGAGTCATTAAACTTCGATTTATAATTACGATTTCATGTTGATTATACTTTTTTGCACAATTGAACCTTTAAAATAATGTCACGTTTAATACACATTGAATAGAATAATGCTATTTAACTTCAATAAATGATGACCTTCTCTTATTTCCTTGAAAGTATACTTATTTCACGTAAGCAACTTACAATTACGTGCTATAATCATCATTTATTGATTGCTATGTCATTGATTTTCATTAGTGAAATTGGAATAAGTTACAGTAACTGAATGATGACGTCAACAGATGTCGCTTACAAAAGGATGAGATTTGTGAGGAGTGAATATATTGCAGGTTTTTGACAACAAAAATAATTACAAAAACCTCTCTCTCTAACATATCTCTCTCTCTTTCTCTCTGAGAATATCACTTTCACACACAAACATTAAAAATGGTCACACTGACAATAGCCATTACAGTGTTCATAATAATCCTTAATTGGGTGGGATGGAAAATTTTGAACTGGTTATGGTTGACTCCCATGAAGAAGGAGATGATTCTGAGGCAACAAGGATTCAAAGGGAATTCTTATACTTTCAGAAGGCTTTTGTTTGGAGATGCAAAAGAGAATGCCAAGGTGTATGAAGAAGCACTTTCAAGATCTATAAATGTTCGTGATGAAACTCAAGCTGTCCCTCGTATCGTGCCCTTCATCCATAAAACCATTGAAAAATATGGTAAGTAAATTTCAACAAAATATTTCTGCAAATTTATACATGAAGAAACGTATAGGGTTGACCTCGGTTAAAATCTATGAACTAAAATTCTGTAGTTCTAATGCATCGGTAGTGTTTGTTTGGTACAAATATTTGAAAATAATTTCCAATTACACGTTCTTTCATTAAAATAATTTTACAGATAAACCTATATTTTTTCCCTACTTTTTAACAAAAATAAATCATTTTTGACTTCAAATCATTTTTCCCAAATCATTTTACAGTCTTGGTTGACATCATCAAATTCATTTATTTTAAAAACTGTTTATTAAATCAATGGGAAAATGTTATTTGTATAATCGAGGTTGACAACCTCTCACATGCGTGTAGGATCCGCATGTTTAAACAATTCAAAAAAAAAAAAAAAGCGGACCCCCACCCATGTGAGCGGTTGTCAACATCAGTTGTACAACTAGCGCGGTTCAAATCAAATTTCCAAATTTTGACAACATGAATGCTGTCAACCATGATTGTCAACAACAATGGTACAAATATGCTAATTCATAATTCAAGAATAATGTTATTTATCATTACAATTATGGAAGATAAGTGATGTGACAGCTTATGTGAAATAATGTGATTGAATAATTCAATTTTTATGAGAGAGGGGGAGAGCGAGATAGATGTGAAGAATAATGGATTACCACATCACCGATATTCTATCATCATAATAATAAATAGCACTACTCTAATTCAACCACATCATGCCTTTTGTTTTCAAATTAGCAAGCGGCTTATGGGCTCCATTTCATTTACTGAACTTTTCGTATTAGAAAATGATGCTACTATAATTGTTGTGGTATTTGGGTTGGGAAAATGAACTCTTTTGAAATTTACACCAGTTATTGTCCATTTTCAATTAATTCTCTGCAGATACTAACAAAAAAATATTGGTATAAAACAAGGAGAGAGAGGCACAACACATAAAAATATAAATTGTTAGATAAATTGTTAAATTAAAGTTTAGTGACCTAATTGTAATTGAGGTAGAAATTTGGTGATAGCTTTTACAATTGACTCATGTCCACGTAGAAGGCCTCATTCGCCGCCGTTAGCTTTGCCGTCCATGTCATCAACTTCTATTACGTTTTCTAACATCGCAGGGAGTGACCTAACTGCTATTTAATTGTGTTTTATATGTACATGGTTAAATTTGTATTAGATACGTTCTTTTTGTTCAAATTATCTTGTTCTACGTTGAAATGGTTTTATTATAAATAAGTATGGTTTGCTATTAATTTGGAGGTGACAAATCATTTTTTTGGGCCGGACTGAGACCAAAGGTGCTGATAATGGATCCTGAACTGACGAAAACTGTGTTGGTTAAACACACCAGCTTCTTAAGGAATTTCAGTGTCACTAATCATATAGTGAAAGAACTTATCACTGGACTTCCTCGTACTGAAGGAGAGGAATGGTACAAAAGAAGAGTGATTATGAACCCTGCTTTTCACGTGGAAAATTTGAAGGTGATCTCCCTTTCCTGTTTATCAAATAAGTTGTTGCCATTTATATGTACCATAATTTGAAATTTTCTTAAATCTTTGGGTTTGAAATGATTTTTCCATGATTGATATCGAATTTTCTGTATTCATTTATATCAACTGGTGGTATTCTTTTTTAAGTTATATAACCACGTGTTGTTGCGTTTAAGATGGGGCAACGAGACGTGGACTTTAATTAACGCCAACTATATTGAATTTAGTGTCATGAGTATCATGAAAGGTTCCAATAGTATACGATTAGTTGAAAATCGTAAAAGTCCATGCTGTGAAGTAAATAACGGCTCCCTAGCTTAATCCGCGTTGAGCTTCCTCTTTGAGGACTAGGCTCTTAGCACTCGAAGAAACTTGGTTCAGACTGCCCTTTTTACATCAAATCAGCCAAATTAGAATGAAATCCATTCGGATCTCACGGAAGATCATCAGACTCAATGAGAACCAAATCTATCCTCACAACATAAATATTCATTGATCATTGTGAATATTGATCATTATAGAATGCAAGATCACTCAAGATCTTCAGTAAAACCAAAAAGAAGACAAAAAACTGCTAGAGAGAGACTTCTGTGTGAGATGAGATCTTAGTCTGTTAAAGTAGCAGTGAAATGAGAAGAGACAAAGCGTAAATCACAAACCGATTGCAAGGTTAACATCCAGCAGCCATGATTAGGCCATTTATATGCATAAGATGAAAGGCACAATTCACAAAAGAGTTCCAAATCTGGTAAACATGCTTTTACTGGACTCTGCTAGCTTTACCAATCAGTCAGATAGTAGCCCATGTTAACCCCAGTTTGTCAAAATTCTCCACATTGAGCATAATGGCATTGCCAACTACCAATTATAAGTGTCACTACTGGTTAGGATCATTATCTCATGTACCTACAAAAGAAATTAACAAATCAATACTAAATTCAGATACATCTAGTAGACCTTTAAGTCATATACATTCCTTGACTCCATCTGTAGCATCAATATATACTGCCCCAATAAAACTCAACTCCTGTAGATGTATCACATATAGCCTTTGTTTGGTTTTTCATAAAAAATCAGAATTTTAGTAGCAGTAGCAAAGTCTCAAGACAAATTCAAGAATTAATTTTAACCACACATTTCATAGAACTTACAACTTTTCAACCATGTATTTTATCAATTTTTATCAAAATTTACTAAAAATTTGATTTTAATCTACTCCAAATAGGGGCGAAAATGAGTTTGAAAAAAATGAGGGCCAAACACAACAATAGTATAAAAATATGCAGATATGTACTTCCAGTTCCTTATCTCTAGCGTAATCTGAATCTACAATGTCAGTAAGTATTATGCCTGTTTACTTCTTGTATACACTAATATTTTGGTTGGAGTACCTTACATGTACCTAAGTAAACCTTTCATGGCCTCCCAGTATGTCTCTCTTGGATTTTCCATCTACTCGAAGTACTTGCGTAAATGCTAAGTCTGGTCTTGTACAGACTATTAGATACATCACTAAACTTATAGCATTTGAGTAAGGTGCTTTTGACAATCTCTGATACTCTTCATATGTAGAAGGACATTGTTTTAAGGATAACTTCTACTGATTTCCTGAACGCAAGGACATAGATTTGGCATCATTCATAGATAAATCTTTTAGGTATTTTAGAAATATTAGAACATCTCTAAGAAAGTCTTTAAAAGTGAAATGCTCTCTATTTTAAAGAGTCTAAGAGCCTATTTGTTTTCGATTAAAATCCAATTAAAATTGAAAATATGGTCGTTATTGGGTCCCACCCGTCTAATAAAAATCAACAATAACGGCTAGTTTTTCAATTTTAATCCGATTTTAATCTCTACCGAACACGTCCTAAACCTTAAAATTATGCTCCAAGAGACTTTTCAAATTAACATTTAAAAAAAATAGTGAGTTTGATTCTTCAAATTTAGAGATTCAAACCCACTTTTTATAATTAAATGCATTAAAGATTTCAATTTTCAATGATCCATTTATTGACTCGACTAAATAGTATATACTAAGAAAATGGAAGTAAATAATATAATAATGTGGAGGAAAGTTGATGAGAATAAAAGATAGAGAAAAATAATAAATACATATAGGAAGTAGTAAAATTAAGTGTTAAAGATAAAAATGCTATTGGAGTATTTTAAATTTTTACTTTCTAAATGTTTTCTAAATTGTAAAATATACTCTTTAAAAATATAGAGTCTCTTGGAGGTGATCCAAGTCTTTCAACTTTGAGAATAATGCGATCACTTTCTATTTCTACTTGTATAGTAAGTCAGCTCACGGAACTGATTTTACAGAATCCAATTTTATTTCTTCCTCTTGTCCCCCATTTTTTTAAATTAAGAATATACAATTTAAGCTATAAACTACTCGGTTTTTATAATATTAACTTCATAAATTGTTTTTCCATACCCCCAACATTTTTCAAGTTTATTTTAGTAATAAAACTTTAAACTTCTTTCATTATTTGAAGAAATTTTTATGTATTTAAGAAGTAAACGATGTTTAGGTAGTGATATTTTTTTATTCGAACCTTTACCATAGTGCATATATCACAAAGTAATTGTCGAAATTTCATGTAGCTTTAATGCGTTATAACAATTATGTTTTTTGACAATACCGTTAATACCACACATACAAATACTCAAGTATTTTCTTGCTCCACACAATTCTCTCTCACTATATTTTATGGCTTTGGGCTTATCCTAATTCATAGACTTTGAAAAGAGAAATTCCAACTCTTAATTGAGGCAGTTCCACTTCAAAGTTCATACAGATAAAGTCCTTCCAATATCATTGCTACATTTTGTATATTTATACCTTGTACTGAACCTCTTTCAGAGTTTATGAAACTCAACTCTCCGATTCTAACAATTAGCATTAATCATCTAGGATATAACAATTTTTTTTTATAAAATTTTGAAACTATCCGCTTATCGAATGATTTGTTTGTACCGTTTGAATCTAAAGTACAAGTATTTCTATAATTAGATTGGGTTGGTGAATTTTTTATTTAAGGACTTTCAGCCATATCCTTTTCAATGTTGATCTCAATACTTATTTGTGAAGTTGCTTATTAAGAAGATCAACTAGGTTCTCACTATAATTTACATATGTGAGAGAAATTATTCAACTCTTGATAAATTTCTTCACATATATATGTCATAGACTCATTTATCTAGACTTTCTATTATATAATTTGCCATATATTCTTGCTAAAATGGCTTGACTATCACATAAAATAGATATAGAAGATGTACCCAAAGGGACTTCACAAAGAAGATCCCTAGGCCACTCAACTTCCTTTTCTGGTTTGGCTAGTGCTACAAACTCAAATTTCATTATTGAGTGTGTAATGCACATTTATTTTTTAGGCCTCCAAGAAATTGCATCTCCTAAAAAAAAAATAAACACCCAACTTGAAGTAGATTTGTTTTTTTTCCCGTACAAGATATCTATCTAGCATCGATATACCTTTCTAATGTAGCAGGAATCTTTGAATATTGTAAGACAAGGTTTTTGGACTTCTTAAGGTAACAAAGAATCCTACCGATGACCTCCAATTTGTACACTTGGATTGCTAAGTTAGTTAGTAAACCTACTTAGTTTACTGTATACAAATACTATGTCCAGCTTTGTACACTATATTGCATACATTAGACTACCAATAGAGCTAACGTACTCAAGTTGTGCAACAACTGTTCCATCATTCTTCACAGGTTTTTTACTTGGATCAAATGGGGCATTAGCTTCTTTTGCATTCAAGTGTTTGAACTAGTTCACCACATTATTTGTATGATTTAAGTTAAGGAATAATATCCACTAGTTTTATTATTCATATACTTTAGAATAGAAACAGTTATCTATAGTATTATGAATGAATCCATTACAAACAATTGCAAAATTAAACATTTCAATTCATTTCTTAGGTGCTTGTTTCAAACCATACAATGACATAACTAGTTTTCATACTTTATGTTCATTATCAAGTAGAACAAGTCCTTCTAGTTTTTCCACATAGACTTCCTTATCGAGAGCCCTATTTAAAAAAGTAGTTTTAACGCCCATTTGATGAACATACAAATCATACATACAGGCTAATGCAAATAGAATCATAATTGAAGTTATTCTATCTACAAATGTATGCATATTGAAATAGCCTATTTCTTCTTTTTTAGATACCCTTTGGCTAGTAATTTAGCCTTAAATATATTAATATTATCAGCAGAATGATACTTCTTTTTAAATACTCATTTACAAACAATTGGTTTAGATGCATGTGATAAATTTATTTTATCATTTATTGCATCTTTATGAAAAATGCAATCCTCAAAGTCACTGCTTCCTCATAGGATCGCTTTTCTACTTGAAGAATAAAGAGAATTGTTATTGCAACATCCATCCTATTTCTATGGATCATTACTAGAAATCAGTTGGGAATTAATTTAGCTGATCATCTTAAGCCTTTTATTTTACTGGAGTCGATGAATTCTCGTGGAACTCTACAACCTTGGATTCTATCATTACATTGTATTCTAAATTCAAGTCAAGACGCTTTGCTATTTGAAGCATATCCCACGAAAGCACATTTGATTCAATTAGGATCTAATTTAGATCTTTTAAAAAAAATTGTTTTTACAATAAATAAGACACTCCCATACTTTAAAATATTCAATGTTAGACAACATTTTTATAATACTTTTTAACCTCGTAATGTTTGTGTCTCGCTGTCAAGGTTGAGCCCAGCAGGCCTGCCTATATAACAGGGTCCACCCATGGCCTGACATAGGCAGTGCTTTTGATGGAGATTGGAGTCATGGTGGTCTGGACAACCTGTTCATTTTTATGCCAATATAAATAAAAAAAAACTCCCTTTCGACACTCTAATACTTCACCTCCATTTGGTACATACATAAATGATTTATAAAGAGAAATAGTAGTAGGTTTCACGATATATATGTGTGTGTGTGTGTGTGGATAATATAAATATTAATTATGAATATATGATTGAAATTAATATTTTACCGTGAAGATGGGTAAAGTCATGAAAAATAATTATGAGACAATAAATTAATGCTATTAATTTTGTGTGCTGCAGCAAATGATACCAGTATTTCAAAAAAGCAGTGATGATGTTTTGAATCAATGGAAGAAGTTGATTTCTGAAGATGGCTCCTGTACTGTAGATGTGTATCCTTACTTCGAATACGCAACATCAAAAGTTATTTCTGAAACTTTGTTCGCCAGTGATTATTCGAAAGACAAAAGACTCTATGACCTTATTAAGGAAATGGTTACCATGGCAAGACTAACCACCCGAATTGCTGATTTACCAGGATCAAAGTAAGTGTAACATCTATCGGTTCCCTTGCCAAAATCTGTCTTGTAAAGTTCTGTCCAATCAAATATGGATATGGCTAGCAGTTGGCCCCAAACTTTGGTCTCTTTCAAATGGAGTGAATAGATAAAAATAATCATTAAACAAATTGATGGAAAGTGTGGAGATCTAAAGGCTCATGCGCTAGCCTTATAATAAAAGCTTGAAGATTGCAGTTGCAAATTTTCTATGAATATATATTCAGTTGCAAATGGATTGTTCATTAAGCATATGAATAGGACTTTAATTGATTCTTTTGAATTTCATATTAACTTACAGAATTTTTCTTGGTATAGGTATTTACCCACCGAAACAAATCAAAAGTCAAGAAAAATCACGAATGAACAACGGAAAATAGTTGGAATGCTCATTCGTGAAAGAGAGAAGGCAATAAGGGAAGGCAAAGTTTTGCAGGACAACTTGTTGGATCTGTTATTGAAATCAGAACTCAAACGTGATTATGGCGAGGAGGAAATTCTTGGGCAAGTGAAGTTATTCTTCTTTGCAGGATATGAAACCACAAGAAATCTTCTTGTTTGGACCTTGGTTTTACTTGGCACTTACCAAGATTGGCAAGAGCGTGCTAGACAAGAAGCTTTCCGGGTCTTTGAAAATCGTAAAGCAGATTATCAAGGGCTAAACCAACTCAAAGTTGTAAGTGTATATACCTTCGTTTTTAGGCCTCAAGACTCGAGGCTTATACTAATATTTGCAACACCAATTATAATGATTGTTAGGAAATAGAAAGTGATAGTTAAAGTGAGATTGAGGAGGTAAATAAATGAATGCAAGGATTTATGTGAAAAAAACAACCCCAATTAAATTTAGGATAAAAACCATGGGCAGTTATAACATGATTCTGCTATAACAGGAAAATTACAGCATCTCTCTAAATATAAGGAGATAACAATAATTAATCTTTCTTTTAATAAGAGGAATTAAAATTATGAAATAGTTAGGAGAAACTAATATTTTCTCTAAGTATTCTATTTTTCTCTTCAGCCTCTTTGTCGCTCTAAGAATGAAACTCTCTGTAAAATGGATGCATACTCCCTGCATAAAGCGACTTTTGAACTTTCACATTCTCCCACTTAAATAATTCACTTTGGCAATCTCTGCATCCTTCTACACATACCATTTTCATGCTCATATGTATTTGCTAAGTAATAACGTGATCTACACTATATGAACTTGTCAATGTTGATTGGTTTGGTCATTGCATCAACTAGGTTCTCCTTAGTGTATATTATTGACATGTTTACACTCCTGTCTTCCACTGCTTCCCGTACAAAATGATATTTTACATCTATGTGCATCGGTTCGTGAATGAAATTGTGGATTCTTTGTAATGTGCAAGACACTTTGATTGTCACAAAAAAAAAAAAAAAAATGAATTCTCTCTTTTTTCTGCCCAAGTTCCTCCATAAGCCTCTTTTATCCAAACTAATTCCTTGAAAAATAGCGTAGATGCCATATATTCTGATTCGGTAGTAGACAAAGTCACCACTATTTGTAGTTTCAAAACCCAGCTTATAACTTCTCTTGCAAGTGTAAACACAGCCTGTAGTAGAATCTGAATTAACATATCCTCTTACACTATCATCTGATCCTCCATAACATAAAACAGCACCCGACGTTCCTCGATGTATTTCGTAATCCTTTTGGCAATATTCTAATGCTATTTACTAGGCTTTGTCATGTATCGACTAACCACTATCACCGTTTGTATAATATCTTGTCTTGTACAAATCATAGCGAACATTAAGCTTCCCATTATTGATGCATACAAAACTTAAAGATATTTCCGTCTTGGCTGCTTTAATGCTAGGACTCATACTTGAGGATAATCCATAAGTGACAGGAAGTAGGGTAAAGATTGGCTTACATTCTTTCATGTTGAAGTGCCCCGCAAGATCTTCCTTAGTAGTTCTTTTGAGAAAGTGAAATCTTCGTGTCTTTTCCGTCTCTGTGAATTTTCATCCCTATAATCTTGTCTATTGGTTCAAAATCCTTCATATTGAATTCCTAGTAAACCGTGCCTTCAATTTTGTTGGGCCTGCTAACAACATGTCGTCCACATACAACAACAAAATAATGAAGTCATTATCTCCTTCAAAACTTTTGTAATATGCACAATGGTTGAAGTAAGTTTCTTCTTCTAATTGTCCATTAAGAAATGAAATTTTCGCATTTAACTGCTCCCAATATAAGTCAAATATAGTACAAATTACCATGACTACTTTGATTGTTGCAAGTCGAACAACAAACAACGGGTGAAAATATTTCATTAAAGTTGATTCTTTCTTTTTGAGCATATCCGTTGACCATCAATCGTGCACGACCTACTCCACTTGATCATTGCCATCCTGCTTTATTTTGTATACTATTTTTTCCAATAGCTTTTTTTCCTATGGAGTAGTGGTACAAGATTGCATGTATCATTCTTATGAAGAATTTCAATTTTTTATATTGTTGCTATTCACAAAGCTGACTCAGAGTTGTTTATAGCTTCATGGAAAGTAGAAGGTTCTCCATCCTCTGTTAAAGTGAGAATGCAACATTACCCTTCAAAATAACTTAGCCGGTGATCTCCTCTCAGGATTTGTTTGTCGTGCTTTAGAGCTACTTCATGACAATCTGAACAAATTGTAGTTTTTGCTTCTTTTGAAGTGCTTTTGTCTTCTTCACTTTGCATTTTATCTTCTACGAATATAACATTCGTGTTTACTATAATCTTGTAGGCAGTGGGATCCAACATATGATACCCTATAACTCCCTTAGCATACCCCAAAAATATGCATCTTTTGGATTTTGAATCCAACTTTGTTCTCATGGGCATCATACATCACATATACATGAAATCAGTAACTATGATGGAGGCCAATTAATGATATAACGAACGGTTTTGACTGCTTTTGCCTGCAATAACTTGGCTATGCTAGCAGTCACCAACATGGCTCTTATTCTCTCTAGTCATATTTAGTTTATTCTCTCTGCTATTCCATTGTGTTGAGAAATATGCGCAATAGTAAACTGTCTCTCGATGCCTTCTTGTTTACCAAATGCACAAAAATTGTTGTCAGTATATTCTCCTCCATTATTTGTCTTCAAGAACTTGGTCCATTTTCTAGTTTCAAGTTCTATCTTTGCTTTGAATATTTTGAATACGACAAATACATTGGTCTTGTGCTTGATTAGGTATACCACACACCTCGTTAAGTAATCATCAATGAATGATACAAGTAATTTGCTTCCCCTAATGATGGAATTGATGATTCCCAAATATCAAGATAAACCTAATCTAGCCCCTGTTTGTTTCTACTTAAAAGTAGACTTCTTTCTCTCACAGTGGGCCCCAATATTTTGAAAAAAAGGGTAAAAAAAACCCATTTTTAGGTTAAAACCAGTGGAAACAAACAGGGGCCTAGAATGTAATATCTTCTTGATGTAGATCTACAACTTCAATCTGCGTTGGTTACTTGTCACAGAATGCTCACACACAAAAAAGTAGATTTGTCGATTTGAACCCAGGAGGTAACTTCTGATCAGAGAGAATCTTTAGTACTCATTCTGACATGTGACCAAATGTGTGATGCCACATCATTATTGACTCTTCTCCATCATTGATTGATGCAAAAATGCACCCTGGTACTTTTCTCCATTAAACATTTACAGTGATCTTTTATACTTAAGGGCGTGTTCGGTAGAGATTAAAATTGAAAAATTAGTCGTTATTGTTGAATTTTATTAGACGAGTGAGACTCAATAACGTCTATATTTTCAATTTTAATCCGATTTTAAGCTAGCGAAACATGCTCTAAATAACAAGTGCCCCTTTCAGTGGCGGACCCATCAAGGGTCCAGTGGGTGCAATTGTCCCCACTGGACTCTTAATTTTTCTCATTGGAAATTAAGCTCCCATAATTTTAGTCCATAATTTTTAATTTAAACCCAACAAAGCAAGTCTAATTTGAAATTATTTTTTACGTAATTTTGTCTCATCCCCGCTGACCTATAATCCTGGATCCACCCCTAGCCCCTTTGACAGTTTTCATGACCCCATTTCAGTATGGGTCTTGCATTCAACTAATCTAATTGTCCCAAAGACAATAGATTTTCTTGGGGCCCTTCAGATGTTGTACCCGTGAATACTAGGAACTGTACCTCATGCATCTTTAATAATCGCTCATAAATACAATTCTCCAAAGATATGTTCACATTTGTAGAACCATTCTCATTGAGAGGTCATGTACCAGGTGGTTGCTGAATCTAAAAGCTAGATGTCAGCAAACCGCTTTCTAGCTTCAACAACAATTGTTGCCTCACAGAAAAGAACTTCACTATCTTCAGCGATACTTGCAATTAGCCCATGAGAATTTTGATGTCTCAAGAGCTTTGTTATTTAATTTCTTCTTGTTAAGCTAACAATCCCTTTTGAAATGCTATTTCTTATCAAAACAGTTGTATTTTACCTTCTTCTTACTTCGTGAGTTTGACCTATTATGATTTCAGCTCCCACTTGGGCCACATTCTATTGATCTCCCATTTGTTATAGATTAGGCCTTCTCAGCTTGCTATGAACTGTCTTGTATGTCCTCTTTGTTTTTGCATCTTTATTCTTCTTCTATAATGCGGATGCAATGTTGTCAAAGGCAAGACTATAGTAAAATTGTTGGTCAAATTTATAACTAGCTGATCATACGAATCAAGTAGACTTCGAAGTAGGATCACAGCACATTCAGCATCTTCAATTGTGAAACTTAAAACTAAATGTTAAGAAAATAAGGTATTCAGGGTATTGATGTAATTCATTACATATCCATATTCCATCATTGAATGAGTGTAGAACCTCGTATTTAAGGAGATCTTGTCGTGAATTGATTTAAACCTCATACGATATTGTCACAGTATCTCATATCTCCTTTACCGTCTTTTTCTCCAATAATTGACCAATGCTATAAATGGTGATAGTACAATTTTTCATCTCTTTCCACTTGTTGTTGATGTCGTTTGGTTTTTTTAAAATTGCTACTAAGCATTCGCCCTTCCGTAAAATTTCTTTACGATCTGTCATTCACTTAGATCAATCTCCATCGTTTTATGTGAATACTAAATGTGCACTTGAACAGTACTCCGACAATCTATATGGCTCTAATACAACTTATAGAAAATAGTTGAGGAAATTGGTAATAGTTAATGAAAAATGCGGTTCGCTAACTAAGTTACCGAATAGTTATTAATTATCCTTTTTAATTTTGACCCTTCGTGCGGAATTAATCAATCAAAAGCAACAAGTCACTTTTAATTATTTCTAAATGGTTAAACAAATAGTCTAATTATCCTAAGTTGAATTGTCACGGTTTATAATATGGAAAGCAATAAATAATACCAATATGATGACGGAGAAACCCCAACTGGGTAAAAACTCCAGGACCAAGTCAATTACCTCTACTATAGACAATGTGGGTTACAGTTCAGTTCCAAACTAGTTCTACTAGCTGTTGTAAACCCTGCAACTCCAAGATCTGTCGCTCATTCCAACCTTGCGATCTACTACCGTAGATACTGTCTAGTCAACCTGCTAGATCTCACGATCTACCTCCTGTAGCTTCCAAGTTCTGATGTACTTACAGACTCACAATCTTCTACCAAGAAATATTGTAGTAGTCTCACGTTCTTCAGAACACGTCTCTTTCAAGTGAATACCCAGGAATCACCTAATTTTAGATCGGAAGAAAGTC